GGGCCTGGCCAGCACATGCTGCATGCCGTGCACCAATCGGAAACCCACAGGCGGCACTGCAGGCTGGATGATAGGGCTCCATGGGCTGGATCCAGCCCTTGGGATGTATCTGTGACACCCCTGACCTAAAAGATATTGAAGAGAGGATTTTTTTTCATTTTTTCTTTGTCCTTCATTTATATTTTCCCTTTCCCTTCTTCTGCTTTCCTATTTCTTCCGCTGACATACCTTCTAGAACTTTGCTGCATACTCCCGGGAGCACATGTGACCCAAGTTGAGACATACTACTGTATATTGTACAAAACATAAATGATACCGTTTATAATTAAAGTTCTTCATCCACTTGTGCTTTGCATTCCAGTGATAAGAGACTCTAACGTAGTGCAGTTAGATGTGGACTCTGAAGTAAACCATGTTGTGGGGCCACTAAATCCCAGAGCAATTGACCACAGGGAACCTGTGTTTATTGGAGGTGTGCCAGGTAAGATTTGTCAGCTTTCTTAAATCTTTATTCCCAAGTTCACAGATTCATAGATTGTTCGGGGCTGGAAGGGACCCATTCCAAGTATTTTTAAAAAGAAACTTAGAAGTTTACTTTTCTTTGAAAGAGAGAGTGGGGGAAAACATACCATTCCTCTGTAATCTCTGTCTTCCTGATGTAGTCTGAAATTTTGAAGTTCAAGTAAAGCTGCTAAAAATTTTTTGACTGAACAGCATTCCCTCAGAGAGGCTGTTTCAATGCAGTTGAAGCATTTTTGGCAGTGTGAGAGCCACCAATGCAGCCAGTTTGCTATCCCATGGACTTTTCACTTTAATTAAGAATTGAACTGTAAAGTTTTCCATGGGATTGAAAGCCCTACTGAGATATAGTTCTAGTCTTAAAATATAGTTGCTGCTAACCTGCTCCCCTACCTTCTCCAAGCCTGACTCCCTTGAGCACTAATTATGAATAATTATTAAAATATAAAAAAAATCTGGCTCTATCAGTTTCTCATGTGCAAGTGTTGGTTAATATGATCTTGTGAGTCACAAAGCACCTGCGTGGTGGTAGTAGTAAAATTGCTAAATTTACTCCTCCTATTCAACAGGCTGCTTGTCCACTGAAAGTTTCATATGCAAACTATAACCAATAGGCCTGTGCAAATAGGGAAGTATTTGATGTGGATTCAGACGATTCAGAGAACAGTGATCTGATTTGGAAATTCGGATCACTGTCCTGAATCGATTCAGTCGAATCAGCTTTGGAAGATTTGGCATAGATTTGGAGAGATTCAGTGATTTGGCCATAGACTATAATGGGAAATTACTGAGATACCTATAATGTCATTTTCTGGCAGATTTGGATGAAAACAGCAGGGATGGTAGCCCCTTCTGAGGGCATGAAGCCTGCCAAGTTTCAAGGAGATAGATGCAGGAGTTTCTGGGAAACTGCACCTCAAACTCCTAAAAACAAAACATGACACCTGTGTGTGTTAAGGCAGATTTGGATGAAAACAGCAGGGATGATAGCCTGTAACAGGAGGCCTTCCCCGTGCTGGTTAGATCTCCACCTGCCCACCTGTTTCTGGGTCAGCCACCCACCCCTCTTTTGCTCAGGCAGAAACAGCTCACAAAAGGTACAGAAAGGCTGAAGACACAGGCTTATGTGCTGTTTCTACGTCCCTCCCCCAGAGCACTGATTGGAACAGGACTCAGGGAAATATCAGAGTCACTAGCCAGCTACAGATGTCAGTCTTTCCCCCCCTGCTCCCCCTCTCTCTTCTCAGTTTCTGTTCCCCTGAAAGATTGCCTTCTGAATCTTTTTCTGAATCTTTTCCAAATTGATTCAGAGGGGTTTTTTGGTCTCCCGATTCAAGTCGGATTCAGTGATTCGGCTTCCACATCGGGCCGAATCTTCTCCAAATTGAGTCAGTGACCAAAGCTTCACACACCCCTAATGTACAGTACATGATTTGACTTTTAAATCACTTCCTATACAATCTTCATTTCTCATTGTTATGGAGTGTTATTGCTATGTACCTTCAACATCAATCAAGAATAACACTAACAATCCAATTCATAATATTGCTTTTCTTGGATGAATAGCTCAAGAACGTGATGTTCTATTCCATCCCATACTACAAAGGGAAAAAAATAGTCTAAAGGGAACAACAGCATCTCTGTGCATAAGGCTGATCTTCCTCTGTTTTCAAATCAGGATGTTATTAGAACTTCTATATAATTACTGCAAAACCCTGTCCAAAGAGGGAATATAATGTGGTAACTGTGAATATTGTTCTGTCCCATAATAATAGAACTTTATAATTCCACATTATTTACAGAATACTAGAGACATCACACATTGGCAACATATTGGAACTGGCATTATATTATGCACATTATACTTTTATCTGGTATGCATGTAAGTGGAATATATTGTATTCCAGGGACATCAAACTCATCTGGTCCCGTGGGCTGAATGAGTGGCATGGTGCTGATCCATGGGCCAGACTGGGCCCATGGACCCTGTCCTGCTGCATGTCAGATCCAGTACCTGTGGAATGTGCTCCGGGACTGCGGCACCTGCTCCAGGTGACTCAGGAACCACACTGCATGCAACACCCACCTTAAAGGAACCAGAGTGGGTACCATGTGCAGCACCTTCCACATGCAGTGCAGTCCTGGAGCAGGCACCACATGCAACATGGGTCCTTGGCTGGCTGCAGAAAGCACCAAATTAAAGCTGCATCTGATGCCTGGCATGTGGGGCCAGTCCACCGCATGTCGCATGCTGTGTGTAGATCAGTTATGAGACCCAGGGACAGTCCCGAGGGCCAGATGACAGGGCTCTGTGGGCTGGATCCAACCTGAAGCCTATATCTTTGACACCTGTATTGCTATAATGAGACAACAAGCAAGACATGATGCTAACTTAAGTCATATAAATACGACATACAAATAACTAAATATAACCTAGGAACATGGATATAGGGCACATCTACACAAGTGGCAGACTGCGCAATTGTTACTCCACAGTCATTTGGTACTTGCATAAGCTTATGAAAGTACTAAATGACCATGCAGTAACCAGCACTACTGTGCAGTACCATCTCCGCACAGTTTTTTCCCCCCAACAGTACTGTGCAGTAGCAACAAGCAACAGTAACATCACCACATGGTTAGTGCCCAGCAATGCTACTGTGCAGTAGCAATGAGCTACAGTGCAATAGCTTGTAGCTACTGCGCTGCAGTGTCTCATTTAGACGCGCCCATATACAAGTAAACATGCCATATGTCAGAAGACATTACAACTGCGCAGCCTGATATTCTTTTCACATACTTTTGCATATGCAAAAATGCAAAAGAGCCTTCCCATTGGTTATAAGGTATCAAGAAGTTGAGTGTGAGTGCAAACGATATGATACCATTTCTCATACCTACTCTAAATAACCTTTTTGGAAATTGGCAGTGCTTCACCCATTCTGAAAGACTTCAGAAGATAGGTCAGAGCTGAAATTGGTAGCAAATTGTAAATAAAGGTTATTGTTTTCTAGAATGAACAGAAAACAGATTCCAGATTTATATTCATAGTAACAAAAGCAACTTGCTCTTACTTTGGAATTTAAAAAAGGGCAATGCTCCAATGTATTACAAAGCCATCATGATAGCTTTAGTCCTATTTCTTGGTTGTTTTACCTGCACCCAAATTGTAGGGTGCACACACTGACAGAGTACTAAACTAGAAACCTTGGTTATGTTGCTGGCACTGGCACTGCCACTGGTCTGATGGGTGACACTGGGAGAGTCAGTTCACCTCTGTTAGTTTCCCCAGCTATAAAACTGGGATAATGATACTGATTCTCTTCTATGAAGTTACCCACTGTGATGAAAAATGCTGTATAAGAGCAAGGCATTTATTAATAATACTGCTTTACAGATTTTGTGTCTTCTTATCATCGATTAGCTGCACAACAACTGAATTTGCTTTGGATGTAATTAAGAACCAAAGTTGGTCTCTTCAATTTTGCTAGAATAAAAGCTGGTCTTATTGAAAACCATGGGGTAGATCTTGGAAATCTTTTGTTCCCCCAGGTGGTCTCCCCATCAAAAAACTGACTTAAACAACTTCCTTGTTCTGCCCATTTCCCTTTCCTAAATATAGAAATCAAAATATGTCTATGTTGAAAACTATGGTTTTGGTAAAAAGAATATTTAAAAAGATACCAAAAAACCACGATTTCAGAAAAAATAGCTTGAAAAATATCTTTAAAATAGAACGTGGATCTATTTCAAAGACTGTAAAAGTGAATAATTCATTTTTTTTCTCTCCAAAATTGTTATTCAAGTTTTCAACCTGCTTTATTTAAAATGTGTATACAGTTTCTTTCAGTCATCATTGGTTCCAGTTATCCTTTATTCTTTGTTTCTTTCAGAATCACTTCTAACATCCAGCCTGACCACACGAAATTCCTTTACTGGCTGCATTCGTAACCTGGTGATTGATGAAAAACCAGTGAGTTTTAGTAAAGCAGCTTTGGTCAGTGGTGCAGTGAGCATCAACACATGTCCAGCAGCCTGATACCGCACGTCAGCAGAACTGCAAAGGTCTTTACAGCACTGAAGGATAAACAAGGCAAAAGGATCTGTGTTCTATTCCTCTGCAATGCTGAGAAATAATAAAACTATATCATTCAGAATCTGTATATTTAGGGTCACTCACTTCAAGCACATATGTGTACAAACAAAAAACCTCTGAAGAATAAAGAGATTTTTTGTCTGCAGTGCTTTTGCTATATAACACAAGAGTTTACAGTTACTACAGTTTCTGTGTTGCAAACCCTACTGCCCTTCTACATAATAATGCTGATGGATTACAGGATAAATTAAAGTGATTTCAATATGTTGCTTTCCAAAGACCCTATAAATATTTTCATTCCATGCCATACAAATGCCCTAAGCAACTTCTTGTTTATTTTGAAAAAATGCTAATATACATGAAAGAATAAAAGTAGATAATAGACTTTCTCTGCAAATAATCGTGTTTAAAGATTATTTTACCTCACATTCAGCTTATTTATACTGCATAGTAAATAGATCATTTATTTAAACTAGCTAGAGATTAGAACACCAACTGCTAATACAGGGAGCTCTGAGTATATATGTGTGTGTGAGACACAAAATTTCAACATTTTATAAATCATTTTCCTTTAAAACTGTATAGCTACAAAGCACATGTATAAATAACCCCAAATGTCAAAGATGCAGGACATGATTTCTGATCTAATTTGTACCGGTAAAACATAAGTAATTCCACTGACTTCAATATGGCTTGCCATGATTTATGCTAGCATATACAAGAGGAAATTAACACCTACAGTACCTGGAGAAACTATATCGCAGAATACAATCATCATTCCTTCCTTTACCCCCTCCCCTGCTTAGCAGTTGCTACGGTATTGTGGTACAGCACCTCTTATTCTGATACAGTACTCAGTCACAAACCAAGTGTACAAAACTCAGAAGCAAGCATGAAAAGCACTTAGGCCAGCTACAAGGTCTAGTGATAGCTAACATCTTATGGATCCCAATATGTATTCTGTCAAGTGTCTTCAGATCCTGAATTCTGCTCAGATCCCCTAGAAAACCTGACCCTCGCCAGATGTGCTACAAACTGTGTCAAAATATTCCCAATCCATCTGATTTCTAGCCTTCCATGCAGGAGGTAAAAGAACGGTAGACTCATAGCTTAGTCAACTGGCCATAGGGGTTCCTGAAATTCCTTCCCAAGTTGTTGGTACACTATACATAGAAAAGGAAAAATGCAGTCCTATTGGTACCTAAAATGCATCCCCGAATCAAAAGGCATGCTTAAATGAGAACTCATTAATATTTTAATTCTCAATTGACCCCATCTTAGTTTGATCTAGTTTAGGTTTCAATAGACCCCCTCAGTGGGTAATTCATTGGAGTGGGGTTTGACTCTCCTCCCCCTCTTAAGAAGAAAATTTCCATAAGGTTCCCTCCTCAGACTTGTATCCTGCCAAAGGTACACGCTTACCTCCCCAGTGTTTTGAGGGAGGCTAGTGCCACTAGGAAGTTTCCTGTACCCTAACATTGACTCTTATCTTAAGAAGGATCCTTGGTCATAGCCATTCAGAGTCAGGGGATTCCAAGGAAAAATACCATAGCCCAGGGCTTTATTATCTGTGTCCGCATCCTACAAGCTCCTGGTGCTTGTCGCTGACAATCCCTGAATCTTAAGCACCAAGTTCTGAAGTACACAGAGGGTTACATATGCAGAGGAGCCCTTACTAAGTCCGTGTCTTCAACTGCCTGGAATATGGAAGACAATACACCCATTGTCTTTAAGACAGAACACTCTTCCTGTACCATCTTCACTATTTCACAGGCTACTCCAAAATAGACTACATTATGCTTTTATCATTCATTCCTAGAGATCCTTGCATACTCCTGGATCAACCCTCTGGTCAATACGGCTAACTTGGCCAGATTCTCTAGAAATGGTGAGAATATTAAAGGAATGCTTGGACATGTTTTTGCTGGACACTTCAAATATATGCAAATAGATAAAACATCCTTGCACAGAATACTGGAAGGATCACAAGCCAGGTAAATGTGCTCATCTGTGTTGGGCATTTTATAGCTATACAAACACCATTTAAGCCAGGAAGCAGCTCCCTTCCTCCTCACACATCGAGCAGGTGGACAACATTCCAAAGACGACAAAAAAGGCTGAAGAGTTCAGGCTGTAATAGTAATTCTTTGGAAAATAATGGCGTTGTAAGGTGAACTAAGCCCTTAAAGCAAAGCGAAACACAGCTTTAGTATGAATCCCAGGATATGGTTCCCACAGCAGTGTGAGGTGTAAGTAGGTAAGTGGCTGTTGCCACTCTTTAGTTACAAACTATACCTTACTGTTGTGACCTAATATATTAGTAGGATTTAGAAGACTAAGATATGATGGTTTGTGCCAGTATACTACTCCGTCAATTACTGAATAACTCACTCCTGGAATCCATTTCTTTTCAGATGCTGGATATACTATAATACAATATTATTACCAGTTGAAAAGTCATTGAGAAAATAATTAGGAGTGAAACATAAGCTAGAGTTAGACTGCTGATTATATAATTAATTGCCAAGAGTCACTGAAGTGTAATAAAGACATTTATATAATTATAGTATAAGTAGATTTTACATTGATATAATTACATATTCACAGACATGTTAAAGACATCTTTTTTTCTTTGAATTTGTAACAAAACAATGAAAAGTCAGTGCTTTTTCTGGATTATGTCTTTTGCCCAACTAAGCTTTCTATCTACTTCACTGTACATGTGCACAGGGGAGAGTGAAGTTTATATATCAGTCCCCTGCCCGAAGGGTGCTTGCTAAAAACTTGACAGCAATGTATAGCATACAAAGGGTCTATTACATTTCTGACTCAGAATGCTTCCAACTTCAGGGCAAAAGATGGCTTTAAATCATTTGTTTTTTTGTCCAAACCGAATAGAAAAATAAGATATACAGAGTTAAAATGGACTTTTTATTGAGTTAATTCTGCACCAGATGAGTTTGATACCCCTGGCACACAATATACTCTACTTGCTAGAGTGAAGCAATATATATAAATAAAATTGTATCTTTTTAACTTAGTTTTTTTTTTTTTAAATCAGGCCTTTCTTATTGTATAGGCTTTTGTATATGTTCACTCCTACTGTTTCTGAGATGCAGTTTCACCCTTCTGCCCAGTTTTTAAGACCTGGGTAGACAAAGTCAGCTGAGATGACATAGCTGGGGATGGTCTTGCTTTGGACACAGGGGCCTGGATGACCTCCTGAGGTCCACTCCAACCCTAATTTTCTATGATTCTATGATCCTTTGTCACAGGACGCTAGTTTGCTCTATGGTGTTAGGAGGCAGCAAAATGATGTTAGGAGGCAGCGTTGTCATAATGTGAAGCAGTATCATCCAACTTGTGATATCATTATGTTGTGATGCAACAGCATGTCTACATTCCTAAAATGCCTCTCAATTCACCCCCCATTCTACAAAAAGATACTATCCCCTGGCTTCTACTACCTGCAATTATTTGCCTGAGAAACAAAAGCATTAAACTGTGGCTATAGGGGGCAGAAATCATTTATACTTTTAAAATAAAGTTTACACCACTTCCATTTTCCTGCATATTTTTTTTTGCATATCTCATTTTGGGTCATTGCCATAGTTAAGGGCCCTCGCAGTGTTACTCTCACACTGATCTAGTTGAGGATGGTCCTGCTTTGAGCAGGGGGGTGGACCAGATGACTTGCTGAGGTCTCTTCCAACCCTCATTTTCTATGATGATTCTATGATGGCAACACCTGGTATCACCTCCAATTCAAAAAATTTTGAATGACAATTTCAATGAGTCTGTAGAACAGCAGCGCTCACGCTGTTAGCCCAAGAGGAATGCCATGATTGAACAAAGATTAGGCCGTAGGAGCCACCTCCCACTAGTCCCACTCACTAGTTTGGGCCCAGGAGGACTGTCTCAGCCCCATGAGGATGGCCTGCCATATCTCCCATATGCCATGACCAGGTCCTGGTGGCCTGCATCACCTTCGCCCAGCCCTGCACACCAGGATGGGGGCTCTCCGCAGGTCTAGAGATTTGGCAGCAGGAGCCTGGTGCCACCGCTCTGCTACCCATGAGACTGCAGACACTGGGGGTCATGCCCCCCTCCCTGCTGTGGGACAATGGCTGGTGCGGAGGGGGGGTGGAGCTGGCAGGGATCATAGTCTTCGAGAAGCAGCATTGTTAGGTCTTAAATATGAAGTTATATTGGAAGCTCAAAATTATCGTATTTGCTGGAAAAGTATTGTACAGTAGAAAATATGCAAATAGGTCTTATTTACTTGATATTGCTCATAGTAAGGTGGCAGCGAGCGAGTGAGAACTGGGTCATCAAAGTTGAAGCATTTCTTTATTTTGAGACAAGCAGTCATAAGGAGGCGCTGGCAGCAAACCCAGGGTTGACATGACCAAACAAATACAACAATCACCGGATACCCAGCAACATTGCAGAGAAGCAGGGCTGGGTGGGGCCTCCAACGGTCACCTAGTCCAAGCCCCTGCAACCATCATCTACTACGTATCAGGGACGTGACGTGCAGAAGTCCGGCTCACCCCTAAACTCCAGCGCCAGAGACCGCAGCGGCGCCAGCGCTCCCGCCCGGGGCCTCCAACGCAGCCCCACAAGCCCAGGGCCTCGCGGAGGCACATGACCAACCTCGCCTGCGTTCGACTGCACTTGGAATGTTCCATCTACTGGGGAGAGGAGGAAGGACGGCTTTGCGCGCATGCGTTCTGCGTGCAAACCAGAGGCGTCCCTCCGGCACCGCGCGGTTGGGAGGCCCCGCCCTCTTTCAGGCGAGAGCG